GAACCAATCATTGAATTTGGAAGATGAATTTGCTCAATAGCATCTTCTGGAAGTGTTCTTTGAGTTATCTGATCTGATTTGGCGGAACCAATCATTGAATTTAGAAGATGAATGTGCTCAATAGAATCTTCTGGAAGTATTCTTTGAGTTATCTGATCTGGTTGGACGGAACCAATCATTGAATTTAGAAGATGAATGTGCTCAATAGCATCTTCTGGAAGTGTTCTTTGAATTATCTGATTTGGTTTGGTAAAACCAATCATTGAATTTAGAAGATGAATGTGCTCAATAGCATCTTCTGGAAGTATTCTTTGAGTTATTTGATCTGGTTTGGTAAAAATTACAGAACCAATCATTGGAATTAAAAGATGAACTGCATGATCGTCTTCATTAAGAAGTTTCTTTTCAAGCTTCTTTTGCTTATTCCTTTCCCAAAAATCATAACCCAGGGCTATTTGAAGTTTCAGCATCTGAGAATCCCATTTTTGTCAAGTATAACAGTTTATTCTCCTCATCAGAATCAGAATTCAAGATTTCTCTGTATTAGAAGAACTATCGATATCTGTGAAATCATCTTGAAAGGTCATTTCATAATCAGATGAGTTGTTATCAGAATCAACATATCACATGAAGGCAAGCTTTTCAAGAGCCGATACCATTGAGTTTTATTCTCAAGAGGTTTTGTGACATTATATCTACCTCTACATTTGTCAAAGAGAATAGATTCTCTGATTTGAAGAAGAAAGATTTATTGGGTTTCTACAACTGAAGAAATATTCAGTTCACCAATCTGAAATCAAATAACTTAACAATCATTCATCATATTTAGGCATTTGCAAAAATAGGTGCATTTTCATTCATTCTCATCCATGTTGAATTCTGACAGGAATTTCAAAGATTTTAGCGAAGATTTAAATCCATTATTCAATGGATCAATTTTTCCAGTTCGAGTTCATAATGAGAAGAACTCATCTGAAGAAGGAAGAAGAAGTTCATAATGAGAAGAATTTGTTCAACCTTTTTGCTTAAATCTATCACTTGATGGATTATCTTTTCCAGAGAAAGTTCATAATGAGAAGAACTCATATGAAGAAGGAAGAAGAAATTCATAATGAGAAGAATTTGTTCAACCTTTTGTTTGAATTCATCACTTGATGGATTAACTTTTCCAGAGAAGGTTCATAATGAGAAGAACTCATCTGAAGAAGGAAGAAGAAGTTCATAATGAGAAGAATTTGTTCAACCTTTTACCTGAGTCCATCATTTGATGGATCAGCCTTTCCAGAGAAAGATCATAATGAGAAGAACTCATCTGAAGAAGGAAGAAGAAGTTCATAATGAGAAGAATTTGTTCAACCTTTTACCTGAATTCATCAATTAATGGATTATCTTTTCCAGAGAAAGTTCATAATGAGAAGAACTCATCTGAAGAAGGAAGAAGAAATTCATAATGAGAAGAATTTGTTCAACCTTTTACCTGAGTCCATCATTTGATGGATCAGCCTTTCCAGAGAAAGTTCATAATGATAAGAACTCATCTGAAGAAGAAAGAAGAAGTTCATAATAAGAAGAACTTGTTCAACTTTTTGCATAATTCTATCACAGAAGGAGATAGATTAGCATCAACATTTCTAGAGAAAGTTCATAATGAGAAGAACTCATCAAGAGCTTATTCAACCTTTTGAATGACTCTATCACAGAAAGGAGGTCATCATCATCCCCAGCAGAAAGTTCATAATAAGAAGAACTTATCTGGAGAGAGAGAAGAATTTATTCAATATCTCCATTATGATCAAAGTAAAGTCAAATGGATAAAAAATTATATTATCTTTTCATCTTTGCCCTATTCTTGTTAACACAAGAATGTGCAAAGAGGGGCAGCTGAAGATACTAATTTTTTTATCCATATTATTATTAATATTATTATTATTATTATTATTATTATTATTATTATTACTATTATTATTATTATTATTATTATTATTATTATTATTATTATTATTAAATATATTAAATACATAATAATAATTACAGACCAATTACAACTGGACCGGCCCAGTTACAAACCAACCAGAACCGGTCCAGATCCAACCAGAAACCCTAAATATTTGGGTTTCCAGTTAGGGTTTCCTAACCCTAATTTAACCAGCCGCCTCAGCTCACAGCCGTTGGATCTGGCAAGATCCAACGGTCCAAATTGCCCCAGATGGAAACCCTAGGGTCTGATACCCTAGGGACATGCGGCCGCCGTTGCTATCTCGCCGCCTCCGCCGTTGCCACGTCCCAACCGAAGACTCCAGAAGATAGAATACCAGCCGTCCACGCTATGGCTACTCGGTGAGTCACCACTGGTAGTCCGGTGACTCACCGAGACCCCATCTTCGGACCGGTCCGACGGCCACACCGGTGGTGGCTATAAAAGCCACCACCCCAACCTGGAAAAAAAAAGAGACAGAGAGACACAGAGACAGAAAAAAAAAGGAAAGAAAAAGAAACAACAGAAACAGAGAGAGATACAAAAACTACCAACGATCCCAGTCTACAACAACACAGCAAAAACAAAAACAGAAGGAAAAAGAGAGAAGAGAAGCTTACCAAAGAAGCCTTGACCATCGCCGGAAGCACTAAACATCGCCGGAGAACCGAAAATACCGAAGGTATTTTCATAGATTTACTCCAATTAGGAGTCTTTTTGAGGAAACAAAGGTCGGATTCGGTCTTAGGGTGTTTAGATCTACGTTTTAGATGAATTTGGGGAATTTCCGACCACCGGAGACGGTGGTCGGCGGCAGAATTCACGGCGGCAGACGGCTGCCGGATTCCCTCCGGTGAGGGAATCTAGAGAGAGGCCAGAGAGAATTCTGGCTCTCTCTCTGCTTGAGAGAGAAAAAAAAAAGGAAATGAAATGGCTGGCCCTTCGGGCCAGCCGGTTTGGACCATATATAGTCCTTCCCGAACGACGTCGTTTCGGGAAGGACTATGTACGTAATTATAAAATAGTTAAAACCCGTCCGCAGTCCTCCGAACTTGTAAACTTTACATTTTAGTCACTAAATTAAATTTATAATATTTTTATTTCAGTCTTCGAATTTTAATTTCTTTTATTTTAGTCCTTCATATTAAAATAATATATTTAGGATAAATTACAGATTTAATCCCTTAATTTTAATAAATAATATTTTAATCCCTAGTTTATATTTTTAATTTATTTGATTCTAATATCCAAATTTTAGATAATTTTATTTTAGTCACCAAATAAATAAAATAAGGAAATAACATATTAAATCCCTATAATTTTGATTAATTATGAATTAGATTTTTAATTTTATTTTTATTATAATTTAGTCAGTTATTTTATATGTTTTCATTTATTTTATTGTTTTTAAATATATTGTTTTAGTAGTATTTGTATTTTTATTTTATTATATTGTTAAATATTTTTATATTCATAAATATATAATAAATAGTAATTCTTAAATATTTATTTTTAATATCGAAGAAAAGGACAGTCTTAATACAACTGGATGTCCTATTCTGATATTTTAAAATTAAAAAGTAAACAATATAATTTAAATTAATATTTATCAATATCAAAGAAAAGAGCTGTCTTAAGGCACCTAGAAGTTCTTTTCGGATATTTTTAAATAAATAAATATTTTTTTTATAATTTTGAAATAATAGAATTATAAATTAAATATATTTTTGAAATTTTAAAATTTTAATAATAGAGACAATTTATAATTAAAAAGTACCAATTTTGGGCGTTGTAGGGGTGCTAATCCTTCCCTAAACGTAACCGACCACGAATCCCTTTTTATTATTAAAAAGAATTAATTTTTTGTTATAAACGCAGATCAGTTTATTTTTTTAATTGGTGTTTTATTAAAACTCTTTTAAAAAAATAATTTTTAGGTATTCGACCTACCTGACCCAAAAGGCCGATGGCGACTCCCAAATTATTTTCAAAACCATTTATTCACATCACTTTTCCCGCCAAACAAATAAATTCGTGCCCGGACGAAAATCGATTACGACAATTATTATAAATAATAGGGTAAAGTACATAAATGATCACCTAACTATGGGCTTGGTCTCGAAATGACCATAATTTTCAATTTTGTTTTAATATGATCACTGAACTATTTAAGTAGTTTCAATATAGCCACATGTCGTTTAACGGAAGTGTTTATATGACAATTAACAAAATTGATATAATTAGGGTACGGGTCCTTGTAAAGTTATGTATTCACGACACTGGCACTTTGCTTTGTTTTCTTCCATTTTTGTTACTACTTGTATATGATATGTTTCATTGGATTTTTATTTAATGCAATTTGATCCTGATTCTGTTTTTAATTTGTATAATGCCTTAATTTGAGCGTTAACCATTTTAAAGTTAATGCTCAAATTAAGGCATTATACAAATCAAAAACAGAATCATGATCAAATTGCATCAAATGAAAATCCAAGGAAACAAATCATACACAAGTAGTGACCAAAATAGAAGAAAAAAAAGCAGGGGTTTAGCACTGCGCATACGAAACTTTATAAGGACTCACACCCTAATTATATCTATTTTATTAACCGGCAGGTAAGCACTTCAATGTTAACTGCAAGTGACTATAATAAAATCATTTAAATAATTCAGTGACCATATTATAAAAAAGATGATGGTCATTTCAAAATCAAGACTGTAGTTGTGTGGTCATTTATGTAGTTTACCCTAAAAATAAGTAAAAACATGAAATGTGACAAATATATGGTGTGGAACTCATTGGCAAAATCCATGCGACACTCATAAACGCATCTTATTGGCCATCCGCATTGCACACGGATCGTTAACAGTGACAACCTTTGAAACCGTCGATTTATAGTTGTAATAATCTAATCGGACTGTCCATATTTAGTAATTCAAAATTTTCGAAGTTCCCGCGTGCGCGCTCCCTCTCTTTCGTTCTCGCAAAATTTCTCAATATAAACAACTCCCCGATCCCATCCCTAAATCGCACCACTCGCTGTCGATCGAATCATCAGTTTACGTTTTACTTATTCCCTGAAAAGTTCCTACGTTTTCTAATCCATCAATCCGGATTAATCAATGGCGCGTACCAAGCAAACAGCCAGGAAGTCAACGGGAGGCAAGGCGCCGCGTAAGCAGCTGGCGACGAAAGCCGCTAGGAAGTCGGCTCCAGCCACAGGAGGAGTGAAAAAGCCTCACCGCTTTAGGCCTGGAACGGTGGCGTTGAGAGAAATCAGGAAGTACCAGAAGAGCACGGAGCTGCTGATCCGGAAGCTTCCGTTTCAAAGGCTGGTGAGGGAAATCGCTCAAGATTTCAAGACGGATCTGAGGTTCCAAAGCAGCGCCGTTGCCGCTCTCCAAGAGGCTGCTGAAGCTTATCTTGTTGGACTCTTCGAAGACACCAATCTCTGCGCTATTCACGCGAAAAGGGTTACAATTATGCCTAAGGATATTCAGCTTGCTAGGAGGATCAGGGGAGAGAGAGCTTAATCCTGTATCTGTGTCTTATTATCTATTTCTGTTAAATATCTGATTTCAGTGTTTTGCTAAAAAAAATGAATGAATGATGAAATATGTACTTGGGGAATCTAATCAGAGTATTTGTTTTGTTGTTATTCATTGAATGCCTTTGTTTCGATTTCATTTCTGAATTTGAGACTCATTTATCCAATCAATTTGATAGAAGAATTCTGGATTCATTTTGACAGTATAAAACAAATTCATAATACTGCAATATTTCACATTGATGGAAAGCCATGTATGCATCAAATTGCTTTGTTGTGCTCTTGTAGTTGCTGATTTGGTAGTTATGTGCCATCTAGGGATTTGGTGCCCTATGATTCTGTATTTAACTTGAACTAAGGATGATGATAAACATAGCTGACCTGATCTTAAAAATATATACCTAAACTTGACTCAATTTTTTGAGAGAATTCAAACCTGACCTTACTTGAAATAATAATAAAATGTTATTTTTATTCAATAAAAGTAGTGACTTAATTGAAAAAATAATATATAGAGAGATATTATTATAATTATTTATGAATATATAAGTTAAAATTATATTTTTTCTTAGGTTGGATCGGATATTTTTCATCTTAAATCTAAATCCGACTCAAATATCACCTTTAAAAAAAACCCGACCTAACTTGACCCCAAACTTTTTTTTAAAAAAAAATCTAACCTAATCGAATTGAAACCCGTCGGATTCGAGTCCCATACCCATCTCTAAGTAAACTGTACATTGTCTCGGCGCCCTTTTTCAACCAAAGATAGCTTATTTATGTAAAGTTCAAACTTTTCTCTCACATTTGTTCTGATAGCTTATTTCAACCAATTGAAGGAATTTTTTCTTTTTTGCTCAAATTAATAATACGAATAACATCGTTTTATAGTTTATAACAGTTAATACTTGTAAGCATATTTGACTCATCGAAACATATTAAAAAAGCAAAATCATTCATCCCATAGCTTTCGTTGCTCTATTTAATTCCGTGCTACATCAGTCAACTAGACCGAGTTAAAAATGCACTAAAAAATTCTCCATATACACTATCATAATGTTCTTTCAGGCTGGCTCTGCTTGAATTTTACCGGCTAAGGTTTTTATATTACACATTATTTAACTTCCTCTTCTCTATTCCAACAACATTTTACAAGATACACTACTACATATTAACCCACCATTGAGCTCCCTGAATCACTACTCCACCAGAAGCTGACTGAAAAACTCATCGTTATTGATCGAACATAATGCCACCATTTAGGTGGGATATAAAGCATTTCGCCTTCCTCTAGGATGCAGTCTATGAATTCTAAGCCACGCACCTTCGGGAACTCCACCACATCTATGTTGTCGAGATCAACCTGAATTTGATACGTCTTTTGTCAGTGCTCATCACTAAAGCTTTTCACAGAATCAGGAAAAAACAGACGGGCAGAAGCAAGCAAAGAAGTTCCATAAACAGAAGGCCTACAGAGAGCTCTAGATGAAATCCAATAGTTCACTGCCTTCTTTTGTCCAAAGAAGAGGCCTTGGATGTTACAGCTTTAACATTTTCATAATGGTTAAGCAGGTACCTGGCTGGAATTGTGGAGCATAGTTTCGCTGTATGGGTAAAGCTCCTCGGAACATGAAGCAGAATAGAGTCTCACATACTTTTTACCAACAACCTAAAAATAAGGAGCAGAGTATCGAACGAGATTAAATCCAAAACAGATAGGACTAAAGTAGATCATCCACCAACCAATGTATAGGAAATGCAGAACAAGGGCAATGAAAAATGCCAGAAAACAGTTTCAATTACTTGTTATGAAAAAGGAAGTCTGTGAGAGTCGAGCATGTAGAAAGGTGAATCAGTATAGCTATTCGAGTCAATACTCATGAAGAGAAGCATAAGCCAATGATCACCAATGAATTATGGGTGCTCTTGAACATCGCAACTCAAGAAATGCTACATGCCAACTTAACACACACTATTACCCTTTTCCTAATGGAGATGATAGATTGAAGGCCCCTTAGGAGTTAGGACCCAAAAATCAAACCACATCTTTTAATTAGCAGTCTGGACATCCAATTTTGCACACAACTAAAGCATAATAGCAATTTGTAACAATGTTGATTACGACTACTTCCCTGATTAAGATGATTTCCATGATTGAGTCATCTCTTTAATACAACTCATTTTAAGGAATCCTTGAGTTGCTGCTAATCATGATTAACTAAAAGAATACGAAATTTTTCGTGATTCATCCGGTAGGATGGTAATTAGTCATTTACAAATATAAATCAGTTCTAGGCATTTCCCAATTTAATGCCTACTATAGACATGGGTGTATAGGAAAGATGAGACAAGCTACTGCATCTATTATGATCTAAGCTCCAAAACAGAAAACAAACTCAACATCTCAAATTTGTAGATTCATAGGTCTCCCCCAATCTCAAGACATATTAAAGCAGTTTCATGGAACCACAATTCACCTTACCATTTGTTAGGAATAATCAGTTCATGCCGATACCTGAGCAAGTATATTATGGTGTGGATCATGGTGCAAAGGTGTCACTGTCCCAGCTGGACCAAACCATGCATTCAGAGATATCAGCTCCCCACCACCAGCAAAACAATACTCAGGAATAGAAATGTCCTTCCGTAAATCATTTATCTGCCATTGTAACAAATAACATTAACAGGACTTCTGTACAACAAAGTGAAATTAGATCTTCCAAAGAATAAAATATAAGAAAGAGGATATTAGTACCTGATCAAACAATTGGTGCTGTGCAAGATACGTGGGGACCTTACTTCTACAGCCATTCGATTGAACCCTCTCAAGAAACTCGGAAAATGTAATAAGCTCTTGCTTCCAATCTGAACATAAGTAATTTTTCCAACCTGAAAAGCATTCCAAACTTTACCAGTTTTCTGTTAAAATATGAAGAAATGTCTTCACCGCAATTAGTATTGCCAAAAATAAATGAAAAGAGAAATGGAACTATAGTTTTCAATAATACAAACTCGAATTTTTAGTGACAATAACTAGGTAGTGAAGTTAAAAAACAGTTTTACAATTCTCAAGACTTCATTTTTTTTGGCTCCCAAATCCAATATTGGATGGCGAAACCATCTAATCCAATCCTCAGGTTCCTTCAATTAACTATTTCTTTTTTTAAGGTAGTTACCAATCATTTTCTACAGAAAAAGTTTCTAATACATCAATTCCTTATTGTTTTGAAACTTCCAAATGCTTTTAAATGATAAGAACCTATAGACCCAACTACAATGGTCCTTCTGTGAAAGATTTATACATGAAAGGAAAGATGTGAAGCTTTTTGTCCATTACGATAATTAAGAATAATCTTATGACCTGGCAAAGAATTCCATTTCTCATATTCTTTTCCCACAAAATTGCTTGAGAACTACACATGATCACATGATAAGAAAAACAACCTAAGAAAAGCCATATGGTAACTCACAGTAAGGAAAGGTTAGGCTAGGAAAAAGTTGGGAATAATAGCAATAATGGCTCCATCCACCTAGGATTAGGGGTGTACACGAGCCGAATCGAGCTCGAGTATTGTCAGCTCGACTTGAACTCGAAAACTTTAAATGTAAGCTCGACTCGACTCGAAAACTCGCGAGCCTAAAATTTTCAAACTCGACTCGAACTCGAAAGATAATATTGAAACTCGACTCGAACTCGAAATGGCTCGAACTCAAAAAAAATTCAAGAACTCAACCAAACTCGAGCTCGATTCAAGCTCAAGTGCTCACCACGTGGCTCAGCAAATTAACCATTGAGTTTGAGCTTTAATTTATAGGATCACTTGTGGAGCACTTGCTTCTATCTTAAAGATGTGGGATATAAGGCCACATATCACACATTTACAAAGCTTTTAAAACAGGAGACTTGAAGCCATTAGAATGATAGGGCACTCGCTTCTGTGGATTTGCAGGATGGTTCGATGTGCATTTCCGACTTAAAGTTTAGAACATGGGGTTTTTCTCCTCTTCAATTTCACCAGTAAAAGAGTTTCCAGGTTTTCCATTTGCAGATGAAGATGATGAGGTCGAGACTCTTTTGTAAACTGGTTTGATATCAAATGGCAGGAGTTTCAAGGTGATCCCCATAGCTATAAGTAGAAGTCCAGTCCCATGCTGCTCGGACAATGGCTTGGTAAATATCATGTATGACAGTAATAAAGTCACTGCCTTTCTTGCAGTTGTCACCTGTGCATTAAAGTTCATCATGTGCTGCGTTTATTTTCCACCATATATATGTGTATGTCTATGTATCAGAATTGTATGACCACAAACCAGTAATGGATAAGAGAAAATGTACCATTGTTGTAGTGGCTGCACCAAAAATGGCAATCAAGGAAAGGACTGAAACTTGACCAATGAATGTGGCAATGGCTTCAAAGACCAACACGCCATACACATATAAATGATGCTCAAGCAAGAAAGAAGATGAAAACCCAGATTTTACAGAGTAATTATTATTACCCCAAAGTGAAAAGTCTTACAATTTATTTATTTATTTTACCTCTGAACATGAATTCCATGCTTTGAATACTTCTCCTGTTAAAACCATGAGAGGGACCAATAATGGCAAACCAACGACAGTCGAGCAAAACAACATTTTGGAATTTTTTTGTGTTTTACTATAATTGATTGATAATAGAATAGTTTTATAACAGTTGCATTACAAATTACTATAATAGAATAGTTTTTATTATGAAGGGAGTGGAAATACCAACGTGGAAGAGAAAAATATGAAATTGTTCTCCGGATGAAGGAGCTAGCTAGCAGAGGAATGGCTGTTGAGGTTGTGGAGGAAATTAATGCATTAGATCCAATCTTCTTTGAGCAAAATCCTGTTTTGTTGTTCCAACTCAAACAGGTTAGTGTAGTTTGTACCAGCTGTAGCTTCAGCCTTGAATATTAAAAATTCCAGGTAAACTTGTCTAAATTTGCGGATAAGATGCAAAGAATTGATCTTATTTGTTTTAAATGTTCAGGTGTCATTTATGTTATTTTCCATATTATTTTAGCTTAAACCGAATAGGATCAATTGCATATAAGACCCTATAGTTTATGCACATTTTGTATTTAAGTTATTGGTTTAATTCCAATTTTGTAAGTTTAATTTTACATTTACGTGAATTTAATCATCATTCTAAAGTTAGTATATTTAGCTTAAATTAGTCCTCACATTTAGATTTCTCTTAATTTAGTCTCTGTTTAGGATTGTTTTCTTTAATTAGTTGTGTACATTTATTTTGCATGTTGATATGTTTATGTATAAGTATGCGATTGATTTATTTAGGAGTCACATAACATCATTTTGCATAATTTGTATGTTACCTTCATGTGCATAACTTAACCCCTATCACATAGTCATATTAAGGTTTTAGGGTTTGTAATTTAAGGTTTAAGATTTAGAGTTTAGGGTTTATTGCAAAGACATTAATTAATCGACTTGGTATCAAATTATGAGGTAAGTACTAAGTGTAATTTAGGATTTAGGGTTTATAGTTTAAGATTTGTGGCTTAGGGTTCATTACAAGGACATTAATTAAAATTTGAGGTAGTTGTATTATAGAATTTTTAATATATTTTTAAAATTTTATAATTATCAATAGTGTATTTTTAATATATTTTTAATAATGTAATTTTAAAAAATCTAAAATTATAATATAACATTTATCGAGCTGCTCACGAGCTTTTCGAGTCGAATATCGAGTAGCTCATTTAGGCTCGTTAAGAACTCGAGTCGAGCTCGAGCTCGAGTCGAGTCCATTCGATTCGAGTATTTATCGAGCCTTGATCGAGTCGATCTCGAGTAGCTCGCGATCTGTCTCGTCTCATTTACAGCCCTACCTAGGATAATAATCAGTTGGGATACACTCGGAGATCAATCATTCAGTAACCTTACGATCAGTAATAACTCTCAGCTATGCGACTCTTGGCAGGTGCCTAAAGATGAAGTAAATTCATTACAAGGCCAAAAAGAAACAAAAGCGTAAGGACCTTTAACCTATCAGTAGCTCATTGGGCATATTATGACACAGATTGTCTTGAAAATCAAACTAAAACTATCAAGATGTATAATACAAAAGATGAGCTGCAAACCACACTAGATTATCAAGATTAGCTTAATTGCTAGGAGCAACTGATTAAGATCAGTAACAGAGACATTCTCAGTTAAGTGACTCAATATTGTTTAGTACATGAATCATGCTGTGGACGAATCCCTTTAAAGTGTCCTGGATCCTTCTTGAATCTGGTTAGAAGCATTGAAGCAATAGTAAAAGAACGGGTTTTGGGTAGGAGTGTGAATGTTAAAGCAGATGAATTAGTGAAGCAGGGGATTGGGTAGGAGGAACAGAAAGGGGGAGGATGGAGCTGTCTGGGACCACTCTCTGTGTTTTGAGATTAAGAAAGGATTTTGTTGTTTTTAGGTTGTTGGTTTTTTGTTCTTCATCTACCTTGGTACTGATGTAATTGATTTAATCTTGAAATAAAATCTGAGGTACTCTTTTCCTCCTTCCGCTACTTCTCGGACTACTCCAAAGTAAGCCGAGAAGCATGAAGGGGTTTTTTAACGAGACCTCCAATTCTTATAAAAAAATTATGTAGAAAAAAATCAAATAAAGGACTATTTTAGAAAACTATATATGTAGCAAAGCATATTTCAAGAAAACAAAATATAACAGAGCATATGTTACAAATTTGATTTCTACTGATTTTTCAAAAAAAGAAAGAAAAGGAAGATTAATCACCTGAACCGGAACAGTACGATCACCACCAACCCCTCTTAAGTAATCCATATCATTCCACCTTGTCGTGGCTGGCCAGTGCACCATGCAATCAGTAATTATAACTGGAGAACCCGAGAGGAAATACTCGCATAGAAATGCCTCCAGAGATAGGGCGGACCTCTTCGCCACAATCTTGGAAGAAAGCGACCTTACTGGCAAAATTTGTAGTACCTATAGGATCAAAAGGAAACAGCATCAGTGATTAAATTCAGATATCATACTACCACACCAGCTTCTCTTTACCAGAAATATACCAACCATCCTCTTCATAAAATAATAAATCACAAAGAAAAGGAGCTAGCAACATGACAACATGACGTAATGTATGCAATGAATATATATAACTAAAGAAATGACAAAGGGGCAAGTTGCCCTGTTTTCACTTTGATGCATAAATACTAGAAATTAAAAGAATAGACAACTATAACTTCCAAAAGTTGAATACCCTTTTGGAATTCTCGGGTGTGAGTGTGTCTTACAAAGATTCTCTCCGCCCTTTGCCTTGTGAACATGTGTCTGTATATCATAGTTATGCTTAAGTTTTTACAAAATAAAAATAAGAAATAGACTGCAGTATATAATAGAATCAGTAAAGCTACCTGATGAATTCCTATACCATAGGTTTTGGAGCAAACAGTCTCTCTACATAAAAGCTAGCAATTTAGTCATTCTACATTTATTTTGAAGCACATAACGAGGTCATATGTTACAAAATGCTGAATTTTAGTTTTTACTTTTTTCCCATTGCATTTTAAAATTTAAACACAAGTTAGCATTTCTTTAACATTCAAGGTTACCGCCATTTAAAATTTTACCTCTTTGCTTCAAAATTAAATGTTTCAGCCGATAGTGCAGGGACTCGTCAAGTAGTTTAACAAATAGAATTAGTTTAATAATGAGTTACAGAAGAAAATCTAGAGATTTGTAACTGTCAGCATCAAATCCAAATTAACCACAAAGATCAGAAGGAAAATTCCTATTGATAATACCCTCAATGTTTTAGCTCATTGAAGAAATAAACATAAATGAAGCAGGAATCAAATCATCAATATAAACTCAAGGAAAAAAAGATTTTATAAATAGTAGTACAAGTACAACGAACCGGATGGCCTCTAAACTCAAATGAATAAGCATAAGAAACTCAAAAGCGATACCACATTTGAGCATTTTCTTTTTCTTCCAACAATAATGAAGCAATATGTTCTACAACATCCACAAGGGGATTGAACACTCACACTATAATCAATTCCCAGAAGAGGGAAAAGGCATTAGATCTTCATTTGGTTTTTGCGTTTTCTAGTGAAATTTTATTTGTTCTGAAGTTGATGAAAAGCAAAAGCAAATAGTAAAATTCATAATCTTATTCAATTAAAAAGAAAATGTAACATACATTTGAGTAAAATTCTATCATGCAAAAGGAAAATATATTAGCATAAACAATTAGCATTGTTACTATGTTAAACTATCATAAACACTAGTATTAATTCATGATTTGTCAAAATAATATTATAACAATTGGATTTTCAATTGAAGGAATGTGAATATATTGAATGCAATTTTCTAACTAGAAATATCACCGGACTTTAAAAAACTCCAATTTCATAAGAACAAGCAAGAATTTTTCCCCTTTTACAGTAGAAAACGAACCTTACCTCGGACTTATCGAATTCCCGTGGAGGAACCAGCAATCGAGACCCTGCATTTGGGCGGCCATTATTATCATCAGCTACTCCGTTATGATACTGCCTGGACTTGGCGGCCAAAACGACTTCGATTGCGGAGTCCAAATCCTTCCTAAGCAAAGGACCGCCCATTATGATCCCCAAGTCCAAAGACCTAAGAGCGTCTCTGAACTCGCCGTTCGAGAAATGGAACTTGGCCACATGGAGGCACGCCATGGAGTAAGCGTCACGCCAGACAGGGAGAACAGAGTGCCAAGGGCCAGAGTGAAGCTGCTCCCAGGCCATCTCACACGCCACCTCGGCAGCGCGCTGGTCACCGGCTGCGGCTAATGTGGCCATGCGGGTAAAAGCGTAGCCTCCGCGGGAAGTGATGGATTGGAGGAGGGCGGGGTACTCGGAGTCCAGCGTGGGTGTTGGGATGGCGGAGTACATGGGCGGAGGACGGCAGTTGAGATTTGCAGAGAGGGGTATTACCGAGGAGATAGTTCGGTGAGTATGCCCTTTTTGATGATTAGTTGGGACTTAAGAGGAAGATAGTTGAAGAGATATTTATACTTCAATTCAATGCTCTTGCAATCACTTTTTAACGATTTCTTATTCTTGTGAATATATGCGACAAAATGTCGTGATTTTTTTTAGTTTATTATATATATATTTTTTGACAAAAACAGTTTATTATTTATTTAAACGTTCTTTTAGAATTATTTTAACGTTAAATATTAATTTAAATATAATACCATATATATTTAAAATATATTAATTAAATTAAATTTATAATTCTTTATGTCACGTTAATTTTTTTAATAAACACGTTCAATTTAAATTGATAATTAATATTTAAATTAATTATTGGATGAAAAATATAAACTAAAACGATATTAGTTACTAAAAATATTTTACGATTTAAAGTTTTAAATTAAACATAATTTAAGAATGTGCATTTTCTTTTTTTAATAATTAATTTAGATAAGTAAAGCATTAGAGGTGTTTATGGTTGGTTAATCGTATTGTTTATTCTAAACAGTCTGTTAACTGTTATAATAGTTAGAAAATTTATTAATCGTAACTTAATAATTAAAAAATGATTAAACGCTAACGGTTGACTGTCATTAGCGGTTCAATTATAGGATAACCTAAGTTAACCTATAACAAATTTTTTTATAAAGACAAAACTACAAGAAAGCTTCAAATTTTCATACAATTTAAAAAAACACATATATATATATATATATATATATATATAATCTTACTTATTTATAGATGTATTTTATTTTGGCTTAATTATAAAATAAGTGTCCAAACTATATCACTTGTTCTAAATAGGTGTCCAAACTATTTTTTTAATCATCCAGGTGTCTAACATTACAAACGTTACCTGTTAGGTGTTTGGATCATAAATTCTGCCGTTAAGTGATCCGTATTGAGTTTGGATAATTTTGAAATAAAAAAAATTAAAAATGTGTTTATAAAGGCCCAAAATTTGTCAGAAATATTAACAAAAAGAAAAAAAAAACTCAAAACTTTAAAAAAACCTAATTCCAATCCCTTTACCACATTGATCGTCGCCCTTTGATGTTATTTTTGTCGGTCGAAACTTTGGCCATCCAAACCTCTACCGACGACCCAGTCAGTCGATAACTCAGTCAACCAACAATCCCTTAATTGATGAATCAAACTCGACAAACCCTCAATTGAGGCAACCCAACAAATCCCCAATCGAGAAAACCTGATGACTCCGACGAAAACCACGATGGCACAAACGAAGAAGATTGACAAGGGGATGGCAAGGCGGTGGCAGTGGTCAGCAAAGGATAAAGTAAGTTTAAGGTTGGATTTTAGGGGTTTGGAGTTTTAGAAAAATTAGTTTTTTTCAATAAATATAATAATTCTTTTTATTAAAAAAAATTCAAAAATTACCAGCACGTGACATGTGTCACTTAACAAAAAATTTTAGCAGTTGTTATAGTCCGAGCACCTAAAATGATAAAGTTTATAACATTAGGTACCTGGATGATTCAAAATAAAGTTTGGACAACTATTTGTGACAAGTGGTATAGTTTAGGCACTTATTTGATAATTAAACCTTTAATTATTATAGAAAATTTATATATTATGATTTATATTCATTTATTTGCTAATGAACATATTTACTAAAATCAAGTTTAAATCATATATTTCTTTTATCTATGTTTGATTTAATGTGTTCTAATATAAAATAAATATGATAACTAACAAGAAAGAACCATTTTGATTGTATTTCTAATTTCATTATATTTTAAAAATATAATTAATCGTAATGTATTAATAGTTGACTGATGGTTAACCATTTATTAAAATTCTTAACGAAAACTATAACCATTAGCCGATATTTTTAGCGATTCGATTAATTGAAACCGTTTAATTTTAACGGTTCGATTAATTAATATGTAAAATCTAATGATTACACCGGTTAACTATTACAGAATATTTCGAACACCCCTAAAGATAAATACAAAATAATATATACTTAAAGATAACTCTAAATTATTTAACATTAAACGTTCATATTTGACCTTCATAGCACTCAAAGAATGTGTATTTTCTTACACAAATAGCTTTCTATCTTTTCTTTCATAATATTAGTGAGTTTTTAATAAAACAAATTTAAAGAAAAAGATCATTTGAACATATGTTATCTTAACATTTTATTTAAAAAATATAACCTTTTTACAAAAATGTGTCGCGTAAAATATGTGTTACTAAAAATGTGTATTTATACGAGTATAAATCAACAGATGATAGCGATGACATATATCATAAATTTTATCATGAATCACTCAATAAATACATATTTAAATTTAAACACCTAAAAAGTTTGTATAAAAAGAATGCGATATTTGATAATCTTATGACTAAATTTGTTAATTTTAATTTATCAAATACATGTCTTGAAGTTGATTAGATTCATGTTAATTTATCTTTATTCGTAATATTGATATGTGTTTGATTAGATTTAAGATATATCTTTAACAGTATAAAATCAATTAATTTCGATCAAATCTCATATTATTTATATATGTATCTTTTAAATATTTAAATATATTCTTGTTAAGTGATTAAATACAAAATTTATACATGCACGCCGTTAAAAACCACATTTTCAAATATTTAAATATTTTAAATTAAAAAATATTTTATTTTTATTTATTTAAGTTTAATTTTTAATAGTATAAGTATATCACATCATCAAAATATCTGCAAAAGTCGAACAACATACACGAAAGAGCCCACCTAAACACAAACAGTCCAAAACTGGACAGGAGAAAATATCTACAAAAGCAAGGGCACACCGCAGTAGAGTGGCCGTAATAGCCATTGTCGCAATTTTTTTTGGGTAAATTAAATTGGGAGGCCACTAAACTATGGTCAAAAATCAATTTGACTATTGAAGTTTCAATTGAATCAATCAAACATTTAACTATTTAAATGTTTCAATTAAGTCATCAGCCGTTAATTTTTAACGGAAGTGGTGACGTGGCCGTTAAAATATTTTAGTATAATTCACAATCGATCCCTATAACTTATATATTCTTTCAATTTGATCATAATTTTAATAAATTAAAATAAATTTAACCATCGAATCATGAGGTTCCACGTGTCATTAGTGACACCTATCATGACACGTGTCTTTATTCAATTGAATGAACTAAATTTATTTTAATTTATTTTTAATTTAATAGATTTATTTTCCACCAATTAGATCATCCTCTAGTTGAAAGAAAATAAATTCGCACAAAAAGTGGGTGAGAGAAATTAAACCCAGGTTTCTTAGCTGGAATATTAGAAATCAAACCATTAAGCTAAGACAACCATTTGATATGCTTTGGACAACAGATAATATATATTGTACTTTAATATATAAATGCTTTACTCAAAATTAAATAATATTTTATATATCTTAAATTTTAAAATTATCTTTTATTTTTTGTTTTAACTTATTAAATATATTTTATTTTTTTTCTTAACTTATTAAATATATTTATTTTTATTTTAAAGTAAAAATATATGTTTTAACTTTATCATCACTTAAAAATATATATTTAAAATATTTTAACTTAAAATATATATTTTATATTTATCATCAGTTAAAATTTATTTGACAAAATACCTTAACATAAAATATATTTAAATATTTTATTATTAATTTAATATAAAAATATATTTATTATCATTATCTTAACTTTTAAAATATCTTTTTTTTTTAAATATCTTAACTTAAATTATATTTTATTTTTAAATTAAAATACATTTTTAAGTTAAGATATTTTTAAAATTTTAGATAATGATAAAATATATTTTTAATTTAAAATAAAAATAAAATATATTTTTAATTTAAAATAAAATAAAATATATTTTTAAGTGAAGATAAGAATAAAATATTTAAATATATTTTAAGTTAACATATTTTAAAAAATATATTTTTTAAGTGATGATAAAGATAAAATATATATTTTTACATTTAAATAATAATAAATATATTTAATAAGTTAAGAAAAAAATAAAATATATTTAATAAGTTAAAAAAACAAAAGATAATTTTAAAATTTAAGATATATAA